ACCGTTCCACCATACGGCTGCCAGCGGTCGTTTTAGAATATAGCCACAAATTCTTTGACCCTCATCCCTTCAAAAGGTGGAGGCTGATTCCCCTTCCTTTGAATGTGAGCCAGACTCAATGGCTTGCTTCTAACAGAATACACTAGAAGTAATGGCGTGTGTCTTCGGAGGCTAGGTCAGTCACAAAAGACATGACGACTTCCTCCTGGCTTTCTCTTGGAATGTTCACTCTGTGGGAAGCCAGATACTCTATCCTGTGGACCTTTGAGAAGCCTGTGGGGAGGCCCACATAGCAAGGTCACGAGGTGTTCTGCCAAGAGCCAGGGCCAACTTGCCAGTGAGCCATCTTCGAAGCAGGTTCTCCAGCCTCAGTCTTGCCTTCTGATGGATGACTGCAGCCCAAGCTGACGTCATGAGACCCTGAGCCAGAACAGTCCAGCTAAGCCACTTCCCAATTCCTCACCCACAGAAACTGTGAGATAACAAATGCTTATTGTTGTTTTTTTTTTTTGGGGGGGGGCAGTACTTTGTTACAGCAGTAGGTGACTATTACACTGCCCCACCCTGATGGCATGAGGGAACTTCTCTGACAGGTTTGTCTTCTTTCTGAGCAAGCCCCAGACGTTCAGGATGAGTTTTCTCAGCTCTCAGGTCCTTAAGTGTAAAGAGGGTTTTGAGCTGGTCAGTCAAGCTGCTCGCAAATATTCCAACTCTCAATCCTTCTGGGCCCATAAAAGATCATTCTTCCTCACTCTTGTGAAGGGTGATGTGGCCTTGTGACTCAATTTGGCCAACAAGCAGGTGTCATTTGAGGTTGGAAGCATTTAAGAACAACTGTGGGTTCTCCTCTTTTTTTCCCTGCCCCAGAGTTCTGACCAGCCAACCGTAATGACACAGCAAAAAAATAAGTTTGCTGTTTTAAGCCACTGAGGCATTTGTGCTCTTTGTTACAGCAGCATAACCCAGCCCACACTGATACAGCATGCATCTTTCATGTCGCCTCACCTCTGCCAGACTCAGAAGGCCCCACATTCACAGCCAAATTTTTAATTTTCTCTCCTTCTCGCATCTCTCTCCCCTCCAGCTCAGAGAGCCTCCCTTTTCCCTTACATTTCTAACAACCTCAGGTGCAGAAGATTAAGTAAATAATCTTCAGTTCATAAAATGTATAAAAAATAGCCGGCAGGTAATAGCACTTGCTATGTACTATGTAAACTCTTTATACATTTTATGTTATTTCATTCTTGTCGGGACGACCCCGTAATGTAATGTCAGCACTCCTATTATCCCATTTTATAGATGAGGCGGCTGAGGCACAGAGAAATTACCTAATTTCACTGAGGGCCCCCAGTAATTAAGAGGCAGAGCTTAATTTTAATTAATTAATTAAAGTGGGCAGTCTGACCCCAGAGGCACACTTAACCACCTGGTTCATACAAAACCCAGTGTTAGTTTTATTTATTTCTTATTCATTTACTCCATTTTGCCCTCACCACCTGCTTCCTTTTCCTTCCCAGCCAGAGTCACTATTTTATCATGTTTATTGTGGTTCTTTCGTTTGTAGGTGCTCTTACACATTGTGTATTTTTGTTTGGGACATATAAATTTTACATTTATATCAACAGTATTGGGTTGTTTCTTACTATTTTCACTCAGATGCATTCTTGCTGTGTGCACAGCCTGGTCTGTTGCTTCACACCCACAGACTCCTCCGTCCTGGACCTCCACCCTCCCCTGCACCTCCTCCTCCCCAGTGATGGACACCAGCTTGCCTTTCACCCTCTCCCCCCACCCCCACTATAAACAGCACTGGGATGAACATCTTTGCCCCTGATGGGCGAGCGTGAGAACTTCTTCAGCCTCTTCACCAAAGACAGTGGAATTGCCAGGTTGTGAAATCCGCAGGTAATTAAGTTAACGAAGTTTTACCAAATGGCCCTTTAGCGTGGCTACATCATCAGAGAAACAAAACCGGTTCTGCTTCCAGATTCTTCCTGCCTCCCACCTGGACCTGAGGCTTTGGGGCTTAGAAGCGGAGGAATTTGCAGCCTTTGTTTCCCCACATTTATTTTCGGTCCCATTCTGACAACTTCTTACCTTGGGGCAAATAGCCCCTTGACTCACTACTGCCTGCCTGCGGCATGGTAATGGGGGAAGGGGAAAGGCCGGGCAAGTTCATATCTCGGTTCGTATCTCAAAGTATCATCTGCAGCGCATTAGCTATTATTATAAGTGGCTAATCCTGGGAAAGGTAGGCGAGGGCAGCAGGAAGCCAAGAGTGAGAGTTCTCAGGTGGGAAAAAGAGAATTTCAGTGTGGTGTGAGCACCCCCTTGTGGTCTAATCTTCTCATTACAACTTGAGTGATTCTCCCCATTAACCCCAGTTACTTTAATCACACCTAATTCAATTCAAATGATACCCATTAGGCACCAGCGATGTCCAATTTAAATATAATTCGAGCCCCACATGTGATTTCAAACTTTCTGCTAGCCAAATTGAAAAGGTAAAAAGAAACAGGTGACACTAATTATAATATTTTCTTTAACCCAATAGGCCCAAAAAACGATCACTTCAACGTGCAACCAATATAAAAATTATTGAGATTTTTTTACCTTTTATTGTACTAAGCCTTCAAAATGTTCTCAGGACAGCCCAGGTCAATGCGGACACTAATTTTTTCACTAAAAACATTTGATCTCTACTTAGATTTCATAACATTTACAGTAGAAGAGGTAGATTCCCATACTTACGTTGTTCCAAACATGTTTAAAGGGTTCCCAATAACTGAATTGAGGCTCCATTTTTTAAAATCTAAGTTTAAATCTATTACAAATTCCCTCCTAGGGGTTGGGGACATACTGGTGAACAAGATACACGTGGTTCCTCGCCTCAAGGGGTTTATTGGATGATATAGGAGAAAGACAAAAAAAGAATTATAAATTGTAATTAAAGCTACGGCAGAAACTAACAGGATAATTAGAGTTAATGGCAAACCATGACTCCTCAGCTGAAAATGGCTTTTACATCTCTAAAGGGTTGAAAAAAGTCAAAAGAAGAATATTTTGTGACACGTGAAAATTATATGCAATTCGAATTTCAGTGTCTATAAATAAAGTTTTATTGGAACACAGCTGCATCTATTCATTTCTATATTGTCGGTGGCTGCTTTCCTGTTACAGTAGCAAGAGAACTATGGACGACAAAGCCGAAAATATTTACAACCTGGCTCCTTACAGAAAGTGTTTGCCGATCCCTAAAATAGAGAATAAAGAGGCAGGCATGCTTTACAGGGAGGGGGTAATCTGGGAGGACTTCTCAGAGGAGGTGATATTGAAGCAGAGAAGAGTCAGGAGGCATTTACGAAAGTCTGAATATGGTTGAACCGATCAAGCCAATGTTAAATATCCTGAATGTGAATTTAACTACTCTAGGTACTCTCAATACCTCATATAAGTGGAATCATACAGTATTTATCTTTTGTGACTGGCTTTATTCCACTTAGCATAATGACCTCAAGGTTCATCCGTGTTGTCGCATATGTCAGAATTTCCTTCCTTTTTAAGACTGAATAATATCTCATTGCATGTATATACCACATTTTGTTTACCGATTTGTTAATTGATAGGTTGTTTCCACATTTCAGTTTTTGTGAATAATGCTGCTAAGAACATGGGTGTGCAAAGATTTCTTCCAGTCCCTGCTTTCAGTTCTTTTGGATGTATATCCAGAAGTGGAATTGCTTCATCATATAGTAATTCTACTTTTAATTATTTGAGGAATGTTCATATTGTTTTCCATAGCGGCGGTACCATTTTACATTTCCACCAACAGTGCACAAGGGTTCCAATTTCTCCGCATCTTTTCCAACACATTATTTTCTGTTTTTTAGATAGTAGCCATCTTCATGGGGGTGAGGTGGTAGCTCATTGTGGTTTTGACTTGCAGTCCCCTAATGCTCAGTGATGTTGGACATCTTTTCACGTACTTATTAGCCATTCTTATATCTTCTTTGGAGAAATATCTATTCAAATCCTTTGCCCATTTTTAATCGAAATTAACAATCTCTATATAATATATACATAGAGAGAGAGAGAGAGAGAGACAGTGGATGCAAATGTTAATAAGGCATATTCAAGTGTTTATCGTACTGTTCCTGTAGCTTTTCTCTAGGTTTGAAGATTTTTCCAAAAACAAAAAAAAATCCAGGGAAAAAACAGGGTGTGTTTTCCTCTTCTGTGGATTCATTGAATTCAATAAATATTTATTGAGCACCTAGGACATGTCAGGCATTGGACAAGGGCAGGAAACACAAACCCTGACCTCCGGGCACTAGCGTACTGGGAACTCATGATATATCACATGGTTTATTTACTTCCCAGCACTTAATGCGGTTTGTCATGATCTTATTTACTAATCTGTTTACTAGGTTTTACATTTCTCTCCCGTGCACATCCTTCCACTCCTGCTAGAAGGAACCCCATGAGCAGGAACTGTGTCCATCTCATTCAGTCTATCTCCAGCGCTCCGCTGGAGATAATGGCTGCTCCATTGACAGGTCTTGAACTGTAAACTCCACGTGAGCAGAGACTGTGTCTGTTTGCCTCAGTGCTCCATCAGGCGCCTAGGACAGGGCCCGGTACACAGTAGGTGTTCAATAAATATTTGTTGAATTGAAGAATGTAAGTTCTGAAAAGAGCAGGGATCTCCTGTTTTTCTCAGCTCTAACCCTAGCTCCTGGAGCAGACCTGGCACATAGTAGGTGCTCAATACACATAAGTTTGAAGAATGAATGTAAGATCCAAGAAGGCAGGGCAGACCTCTGGTTTTTGAGATTCTCTCCTTAGCTCCCAGCTCCACGCCTGGCACAAAGTAGGTGCTCAGCAAACGCGCGCCTGCGCACTCACGCACTCACGGAGTGTTTCTCCCCGGGCCTCCCTGACTCCGCCCCTGGCTGGGGGGCGGGGCCGACCGGGTTCTCTGTGAAGTCACAAAGGCCGTGCCATGCCTCTGACCTTAGCCCTTCTGCTGCTCCTGGACCTGAGCGCCCGACGAGGCTGGGGCTGCCTGCATTGTGACCACTCGGTGCGGGAGGCCCTGAGCCAGCTGCGCGTCGCCCTCATCCCCGACCGCTTCCATCAAAAGCAGCTGCAGGCCCGCGCTCGGGCCCTGCTGCTGGGCATGGAGGGGCCTTTCTTCCGGGACTACGCGTTGAACGCCTTTGTGGGGAGAGTGGGTGAGTGCTGGGGAGGGGAGGGTACCTAGCACGGTGGAGAAAGGGACCAGTGGGGCAGCCCGAGGCTGGGCCGGGAGACCGACCCTTTGGGGACCACGCCCCCAAGGGGGAGGGCGGGGCCAATCTCGGAGGGAGCTGGAGGGGATCACTTGGCTCTCGCAGGGACCCACTGGAATTTCCTCCCCTCTCGCCCCCAGGGATAGAGCACCTGGACCTTGTGGCATCCTTTATCAAGAATCAAACAAACAACTTAATGGTTAATTCTCTTAGAGGTAGGAGCTAAGAGGGAAAGCCTTTTTCCAGCCCCCTTTCCCTTCCTCCCTTTCCACCGTTCACTACGCCTTCTCTTGATGTAAAAATAAAAGCAAACACGCTGTACAGCCTTTACTGTGTCAGAGTTCTAGAAAAGTCTAGGACAGGTCATCAAGGTGGGCGGTATTGTGATCTGCCCTTAACAGAGGGGGAGGCTGAGGCTCAGAGAGGTTAGGCGACATACCCAAAGTCACACAGCTAGGAATAACAGAGCTGAGGATTTGAACCTGGGACATCCAGCTTAGACCCTTATATTCGTAACCATCACCCCATGAGGTTTCTCCTGGTTTTGTATTCAGCAGCTCCTGGGACGCCACTGAAATCATTGTGGCCGCTAAGACAGTTCCCAACGGGAGGGCAGTAGAGGGCCCTGTGGACTGGGGTGGGAGGAGGGATCTAAGCCCCAGGAACCTCACCCCACTTTGAGGGATGGAGCAGGGAGAAGGGCACCACGGAAGAGCCCACCATTTTTTTTAAAAGATATGAAATATTTGTGTGTGTGTAGTTTGTAGAAAGCGAGCCCTGAAAGAGGAATGGGGGTGGGGAGGTGGGTAGATTCGCAGAATACTGATGTCGGTTGTCCTAGGATAAGGGAACAGAAGGTGATGTATGCTTTTCTTGCCTATGCTTGTCAAATTGCTGTGGATTTCCATTTCCTTTTCTTTTTCCCTCCCTCCCCTTTTTAATAACGAATATGCAGTAGTCACAGAATCAGGAGGAAATAACAATCATTTTAATTACATTAAAAACTTAAATTTTATCTCAATTTTTAGAATTGCCCTACCATTTAGTGAATATGAAACTTTAAAAAACAATGCATACTAAGGAGTGTAGGGCTTTTGCGGGGGCAGGGAGAGGTAATGAATATTCTAAAATTGTGGCGATGGTTACATAACTCTGGGAATAATCTAAAAGCCGTTAAATTGTGTACTTTAAATGGGTGAATTGTATAGTATGTGAATTATGTCTCAGTAAAGCTGTCCAAAAAAAAAATCCAAATGTGTATAGTCCCCTTTGACCAGGCCCCTTCCTGGGAACTTTAAACACTGGAAGGTCTGTTCTCAGCTGGCGGACAGGGAGTGAGTTTGGGTTCTCATTCCAGACCTTTGAGAGAGGTGTAGAAATTACAGTGGAGGTCCTGAGGGTGGACTGCCCTGGAATCAAAGCCTGGCTAACCTTCAGCAAGCTATTTAACATCTTTGTGCCTCGGTTTCCTCATCTGTAAAATGGGAATAATAGCACTCACCCCATAGTCACTGAGAACCATAAAGAGGTCTGTGAAGGTGCAGTTAGCCCACAGTAAGTGCTCAATAAATGTTAGTTATTAAGATGATTATGCTGCATCTTGCGTCTCTGTCTAGAGCAGGAATTGGCAAGATATAGCCTGGGGGCCAAATCTGCAAATAAAGTTTTATTGGAACACAGCCACACCCATTCATGTATTTACTGTCTATGTTGCTTTTGCTCTCCAAGGCAGAGCTGAGTAGGGACAATGACCATATGGCCCTCAAAGCTGAAAATATTGACTGTCTGGACCTTCACAGAAAAAGCTTAGAGCAGGAGGTCTCAACTCAGGCTGCAGGTTGGAATCCCCTGGGGAACTTTTAAGACAATCCAGGAGCCCAGGCAGCAGCCCATGCCAATTAAATCAGAATATCAGGGGGCGGGGCCTGAACATCAGTCATTTTTAAACTCTCACCTTTTAAAAAAAGTGATTTTTATATTTTGAAAAAATTCAAATGGATAGAGTGGCAAGAGTAGTACAATAAACACCTATACACCATTCTTAACATTTCACTATATGGTAACCATTGCCACATTTGGGGTGTGTGTGTGTGTGTGTGTGTGTGTGTGTGTGTGTACCATTTGAGACTTAGTGATACTTCAACCCTAAATTCTTCAGCGGGCAATCAGGCAATCTCCTAAAAACAAGGAAAGACATTCTCTTACACAGGGAGTGTACGTAGGAATTTAATCAATTCCATACTATCCTCTAATATTCAAACCTCATTAAAATGTCCCCAGCTGTCTCAATCATGCCCTTCACAGCTAGTTTTCTTTCAGTGCTGAATCTGTTCTGGGATCATGCATTGCATTCAGTTGTCTTTTATGATGATGACATTTTTGAAGAGTCCAGGCCAATGATTTTACCAACTATTATTATATTATTGGGGTTGGTTACATAGGCAAGGAGCACCCAAGTGGCTTTTCTCAGTTATTCTGTCTCCAGCCCCACCAGAGGTCAAGCTGCTACTGTGTTGGCCCAAGGCCACCACCATGAATCACATCGTTAGCACAGACGGTGTGTTGTGACCCAAGGCTTCCAAGTAAAGAAAGACACACTTAACAGGTGGGATATTCCAAGGACTTAGAGATTACCTCCCAGGAACGAGGCAAGAACCAAGCCTTTTTTTTTTTTTTTTGGAATGTGCAGGGTTTGGAAAACTCAGACCTGCTGAGTTAACCCTTTACTGTAAAATATAACATGTCAAATGGGGACAAATACTACAGAGAAAAAAAATAAAGCAGGGACCAGGGGATGGGGAGTACTGGGAATAGGGGCAGGGCTTGCAGGTTAAAATAGGACAGCCAAGAAGGATGTCACTGAAAGGTCAGCACGTGAGAAAAGATGTGGAGGAGAGGGGGAAGCAGCTATGAAAGGGTAGAAGTCTAGGCTAGAAGGCTGTAGGCAGAGAGGACAGTGACTGCAGTGCCCGAGATGAGACTGTGATTGGCATATTCACAGAACCTTGAAGAGGCCAGGGAGGCTGGAGTGGAGAGAGAGGGAGAGATGTAGAAGCTGAGGTCCTAGAGGTAAGGGGAAGGGGATGGGTAGGTTGGTACCCATCAACTGGAAGGGACTTATAATGGTAAGGACTTTCCTCATCACTTCTCTTTTTTTATTTTTTGGCTGCACCACAACCAGGGATTGAACCCACACCCTCGGCAATGAAAGCGTGGAGTCCTAACCACTGGACCACTGGACCACTGGACCACTGAAGAGATTATAGTCAAAAACTTCCCTAACATGGGAAAGGAAATAGTCAATCAAATCCAGGAAGCACAGAGAGTACCACACAGGATAAACCCAAAGAGAAACACACCAAGACACATATTAATCAAACTATCAAAAATTAAATACAAAGAAAAAATACTAAAAGCAGCAAGGGAAAAGCAACAAATAACATACAAGGTTATATGTTAACCCGATAAGGTTAACAGCTGATTTTTCAGCAGAAACTCTGCAAGCCAGAAGGGAGTGGCAGGACCTATTTAAAGTGATGAAAGGGAAAAAGCTACAACTAAGATTACTCTACCTAGCAAGGATCTCGTTCATATTTGATGGAGAAATTAAAACCTTTACAGATAAGAAAAAGTTAAGAGAATTCAGCACCACCAAACCAACTTTACAACAAATGCTAAAGGAACTTCTCTAGGCAGGAAACACAAGAGAAGGAAAAGACCTACAGAAACAAACCCAAAACAATTAAGAAAATGGTAATAGGAACATACATATTGATAATTACCTTAAATGTAAATGGATTAAATGCTCCAACCAAAAGACATAGACCGGCTGAGTGGATACAAAAACAAGACCTGTACATATGCTGTCTACAAGAGACCTACTTCAGACATAGGGACACATACAGACTGAAAGTGAGGTGATAGAAAAAACATTCCATGCAAATAGAACTCAAAAGAAAGCTGGAGTAGCAAGTCTCATATCAGACAAAATAGACTTTAAAGACTATTACAAGAGACAAAGAAGGACACTACATAATGATCAAGGGATCAATCCAAGAAGAAGATATAGCAATTGTAAATATTTATGCACCCAACATAGGAGCACCTCAATTCATAAGGCAAATGCTAACAGCCATAAAAGGGGAAATTGACAGTAACACATTCATAGTAGGAGACTTTAACACCCCACTTTCACCAATGGACAGATCATCCAAAATGAAAATAAATAAGGAAACACAAGCTTTAAATGACACATTAAACAAGATGGACTTAATATTTATAGGACATTCCATCCAAAAACAACAGAATACACTTTCTTCTCAAGTGTTCATGGAACATTCTCCAGGATAGACCATATCTTGGGTCGCAAATCAAGCCTTGGTATATTTAAGAAAATTGAAATCATATCAAGTGTCTTTTCTGACCACAAAGCTATGAGACTAGATATCAATTACAGGATTAAAAATACAAACATATGGAGGCTAAACAATATCCTACTAAACAACCAAGAGATCACTGAAGAAATCAAAGAGGAAATCAAAAAATACCTAGAAACAAATAACAATGAAAACACGATGACCCAAAACCTATGGGATGCAGCAAAAGCAGTTCCAAGAGGGAAGTTTATAACAATACAACCCTACCTCAAGAAACAAGAAAAATCTCAAATAAACAACCTAACCTTACACCTAAAGCAATTAGAGAAAGAAGAACAAAAACACCCCAAAGTTAGCAGAAGGAAAGAAATCATAAAGATCAGATCAGAAATAAATGAAAAAGAAATGAAGGAAACAATAGCAAAGATCAATAAAACTAAAAGCTGGTTCTTTGAGAAAATAAACAAAATTGATAAATCATGAGCCAGGCTCATCAAGAAAAAAAGGGAGAAGACAAATCAACAGAATTAGAAATGAAAAAGAGAAGTAACAACTGACACTGCAGAAATACAAAGGATCATGAGAGATTACTAAAAGCAACTATATGCCAATAAAATGGACAACCTGGAAGAAATGGACAAATTCTTAGAAAAGCACAACCTTCCGAGACTGAACCAGGAAGAAACTGAAAATATAAACAGACTAATCTCAAGCACTGAAATCGAAACTGTGATTAAAAATCTTCCAACAAACAAAAGCCCAGGACCAGATGGCTTCACAGGTGAATTCTACCAAACATTTAGAGAAGAGTTAACACCTATCCTTCTCAAACTCTTCCAAAATATAGCACAGGGAGGAACACTCCCAAACTCATTCTACAAGGCCGTCATCACGCTCATACCAAAATCAGACAAAGATGTCACACAAAAAGAAAACTACAGGCCAATATCACTGATGAACATAGATGCAAAAATCCTCAACAAAATACTAGCAAACAGAATCCAACAGCACATTAAAAGGATCATACACCATGAGCAAGTGGAGTTTATCCCAGGAATGCAAGGATTCTTCAATATACACAAATCAATCAATGTGATACACCATATTAACAAACTGAAGGATAAAAACCATATGATAATCTCAATAGATGCAGAAAAAGCTTTTGACAAAATTCCACACCCATTTATGATAAAAACTCTCCAGAAAGTAGGTATAGAGGGAAGCTACCTCAACATAATAAAGGCCATATGATAAACCCACAGCCAACATTGTTCTCAATGGTGAAAAACTGAAACCATTTCCTCTAAGATCAGGAACAAGACAAGGTTGCCCACTCTCACCACTGTTACTAAATATAGTTTTGGAAGTTTTAGCCACAGCAGTCGAAGAAGAA